ATGGATGGATGGATGAATGGATGAATGGATGGATGGATGAATGGATAGATGGATGAATGGATGGATGGATGAATGGATAGATGGATGAATGGATGGATGGATGAATGGATAGATGGATGGATGGATGGATGGATGGATGGATGGATGGATAGATGGATGGATAGATGGATGGATGGATGGATGGATGGATGGATGGATGGCACAGGTGTCTTACAGAGTTGTTACAGGTGGAGATCAGGTGTGTTACATGTGTACACCAGCTGCACTACTTAGTACCAGTACTCACCAGGAACAGCAGGGTGTGGTGGATGATGAATTCTCTCATGAGACCAATCAGATCCTGGCTCATATCCTGAAATAGAGATGGGACCAGAACCACAGCCAGGTTGTGAGCTGACATCTTATTCACCTGAGAAAACACCTGAATCCTGGGACAGAGGGGGAGGGGCCAGTGAACAGGTGAACTGACAGCTTAACATCAATATGTCAAATATGTTTTTATTGTGTGTGTGTGTGTGTGTGTGTGTGTGTTACATGTAGAAGTGTCCAAACAGGGCATTGAGTGTGGCGCTGTTGTCATCAGGAAGTTGTCGTAGTAACCGTCTATACTCTTTAAACCTGCTGCGTTCATCTGAAATCACTGAGACACAACAGTCTGTTAGACTGATGAAGTACTACTGAGGTACTGATGGTAGTATTACAGCAGGAAGTACTCAAAGTACTTCAGAGTTTAGGATTTAAAGGATTAAAAAACATTCTACTGCTCCAGAGTATTAAATAAATGATCAAAGTACACGTAGTACCTCTGAGTATTTGGTCTTTTCTCATACCTGCAGCCTGCTGCCACTGCCGTTGGTCTGCGTTGGGAATCAGACTCTGTTTGTCTCGGATGAACTGTTTAAGGGCGGAGCTAGCATCAAGCACCCCCTGCTCATCATTCTCCAGGGGGGCAGAGTTTGGTGATGTCATCAAGGCCTCCACCAGATGTTTCACTTTGGTAGCAAGGCCACAGCGCCGGTACACGCCCTCTACCTTCAGACCTGGATACAGAGATAAAGTGAAGCTCCACTTCCTGTGCTTGTCTGATCCGGGGCCATCAGCTGATGCTCTGAGGGCCTGAACTCACCGTAGGTGGTGATGTGGGAGATGCAGCGCTCGATGGCTGGTGGGACAGAGCCTTTCAGCTTTGCAGAGATCACCGGGTACAGAACTGGAGTCTGAATGACTGCTGGAGGGTGCTCTGGAGCAGAGTCCTGATTGGCCAGAGCTTTTTGCAGATATTTGAACCAGGTTTCACAGCTGTGATGACCCTCAAAACGCAGTGAAATACTCCTGAGGAGAGGAAGACCGTAGTTTTATTGGCCTCAGCACAATTTGAGAAGTACAGTATGAGCTTAAGGCTGCTGTAGTTCCTCAGCAGTTAGGAACATGGCTGCTTCAAAAATACATTCAAAACCAAAAGAACTGGACTTCTGTTCTGTAGTAGAAGAAGTGTGGCTTCCCACATGGGGAGTTTCAATCAAACAGAGGTGGAGCATGTGGACTTCCAACCAGGGGTACCCTGAGATATTTGACAGCTGTTTTTATTTTGACTGTAACAAATCACATGACAAAGCAGTTCTGGTAAAATTTCTATTATGTTATTTAACCAAACAAATACCCCTGAGATCACAGCTGTCTTTTCCAAGTGGGGCCTGGGCCTGAAGGCCACCTAAACTTGTTGGATAAATTGTTGTCTACTCAATGTCTTCATGTTTGTAAGGTCCTCACCTGTCTGCAGTTGCCAGGGTGACAATGTTTTCAGATAGGTCCATCTCTGAAAGAAGAAACAATTTTCACATCAAATCATCCTGTAGAGTTAGAAAATGATCAAGTTGTACATCTTTTACTTTGTTTAAAAAATCTTAAAATATTGTTTTTTACATTAAGATGTCTTAATAAAAACATGTTGAATTATAAAACAAAAACACATCTTATTGAAATCATATGTAAAATGTAAAGATTCAATAAGCTGGAACTTCTACCAACACTGTAAGATTTGTATTTTTTGTTTTGTCCATTCAACCCTATTCAACAACTGTCCGTCCATCTTCTTCCTCTTATCCGGGGTCAGGTCTCGGGGGCAGCAGCCTCAGCAGAGACCCAGACCTCCCTCTCTCCAGACACTTGGACCAGCTCCTCTGGGGGAATCCCAAGGTGTTCCCAGACCAGCTGAGAGACATAGGTCTCCTCCCAGTGGGACGTGTCCAGAACACCTCACCAGGGAGGAGCTCCTGACCCTAGATGAGGGTAGGAACGTAGACCCACTGGTAAACCTTCACCACGACAGACCGGTACAACTCCCACATCACTGCAGACACAGCACCAATCCGCCTGTTGATCTCCTGCTCCATTCTTCCCTCATTCATGAACAAGACCCTGAGATACTTCAACTCCTCCACTTGGGACAGGACCTCCTCTCCGACCAGGAGGAGGCACCCTACCCTTGGTAGGCTCCGTGGGTGAAAGCCCGGCCACCAGGCGCTCACCAGCGTGCCCCACCTCCAGGCCTGGCTCCAGAGTGGGGCCCCAGTGACCCATATCCGGGCGAGGGAACACTGAATCCATTTATGTCACTCATCTTAGGGTTCTTTATTCAACAACTGATTATACTTATTTGTTTTATTGTATAGATTTTTTATAAATTCTTTTTTTAGGTAAAGAAAACAAAAGATAAAGAAAATATAACTGACCACAAAATAAAGACAAATCAATCCAAAAAAGAAAGCTTTAAAGACTCAACTATAGAGGACTAAAAATGGATCCATGAGACTGCATCTGAGAAGAACCACACTGAGCCACCTCTAGACCACAGTCCAGATTATATAACCTGACTTTCAGAACCTAAAACAACAATGATTAAAGGCTGTGTTACCATGGTGACTGAGCGCGCTCAGTTCGAAGCTCACAGCCTGCTGTGTGTTTCTGTTGATGGGGTGAAGACTGACTCCATCCTCCCACAGCAACAACCAGGCATCAGAATGATTCAAGGCTCCGCCCACTTGAACCACTTTGCTTACAGCTGAGGCTCCAACCACCTCGGCATAAGACACGCCTCCTGGGAGAATCACCTGAAAAACAGCAATGAGCATTGTGAAGAAAGCAGCTTGGCTCATGTTGGTGTTTCACCAGAGTCTGAAACAGGTGGGATTACTTTATAATATAAAACAGGTGGGTTTAACTTCATAATGTAAAACAGGTGGGTTTAACTTCATAAAATAAAACAGGTGGGATTACTTTATAATATAAAACAGGTGGGTTTAACTTCATAATATAAACCAGGTGGGTTTAACTTTATAATATAAACCAGGTGGGTTTAACTTCATAATATAAACCAGGTGGGTTTAACTTTATAATATAAACCAGGTGGGTTTAACTTCATAATATAAACCAGGTGGGTTTAACTTTATAATTTCAAACAGGTGTGTTTAACTTTATAACATAAAACAGGTGGGTTTAACTTCACAATATAAAACAGGTGGGATTACTTTATAATATAAAACAGGTGGGTTTAACTTTATAATATAAAACAGGTGGGTTTAACTTTATAACATAAAACAGGTGGGTTTAACTTTATAATTTCAAACAGGTGGGTTTAACTTTATAACATAAAACAGGTGGGTTTAACTTTATAATTTCAAACAGGTGGGTTTAACTTCATAATATAAAACAGGTGGGTTTAACTTTATAAAATCAAACAGGTGGGTTTAACTTCATAATATAAAACAGGTGGGTTTAACTTTATAATTTCAAACAGGTGGGTTTAACTTCATAATATAAAACAGGTGGGTTTAACTTTATAAAATCAAACAGGTGGGTTTAACTTCATAATATAAAACAGGTGGGTTTAACTTTATAATTTCAAACAGGTGGGTTAAACTTCAGAATAAAAAACAGGTGGGTTTAACTTCAGGATATAAAACAGGTGGGTTTAACTTCATAATATCAAACAGGTGGGTTTAACTTCATAATATCAAACAGGTGGGTTTAACTTCAGGATATAAAACAGGTGGGTTTAACTTCAGGATATAAAACAGGTGGGTTTAACTTCATAATATCAAACAGGTGGGTTTAACTTCATAATATCAAACAGGTGGGTTTAACTTCAGGATATAAAACAGGTGGGTTTAACTTCATAATATAAAACAGGTGGGTTCACCTTTAGAATTGGAAGCAGGTGGTTTTGCAGAGTCTCTTTGTCGTCAGCATCACAGTTTATCTGATTACTTAGTGTCACCAGCTGAAACTGATGATTTGGCCTGAGAACAGCAGCAGCAGCAATATCATAATTAAAAACAACAAACACATCAATGTACAGAGACATGAGACAATGTTTGCTGAGACTTGACTCACATAACTAATCTGAATTGGATTGAATTAAATCGTTAGTTGAATTGGCTGACTGGTTGCCTCTTGTTGATATTTACCCATCTTTAAGGAAGACTGACAGAACTTCTCGCAGATCAAGGACATCACAGGCCGCTGAATTGTTTTCTACCGAGAAGAGGAAACGATCCTCCTCCAGTTTACCATGAAGCTCCTCGTCTTCATCAGCTGCACACACAGATAACACACACACACACACACACACACACACACACACACA